CTTGGGCCGGTGCTCCGCCGCCTCGCAGCGAGGGGACGCGGAGGCCCTGGCAGACACTTTATTCCGATGATTTCATTGGTCTCTACCCAGTGAAAACCTGAGTAGAAACCCCCAATCAGCACCGTTCGGTGCCTGCGATCCGTCGGGGAGAGAGGGCAGGAGGGAGCGCAGGTGTGCGGGTCTCGGAGCGCTGCTCGCAGGAGGAGCATCCAGGTCTTTCAGTTCTGTCTGCTAGACGGTTCTTGAGCACCTCCAGTGAAGGAGGTGTCCACGGACCGTCTGGATGCAATCCTGAGCCGTGTGCCCTAGGGTGGCCCTGCTCGGGTAGGGAGGTTGGACCAGATGTCTCACTGGAGTCCTTCCCAACCTCACCCATTCTGTTCCCGTTGCGTTTGGAGCCGAAAGGTGTGTGCCCAGGGCAGGAACCTCACACTGCAGAGCCGCCCCTGGAGCAGCCCAGCCCTGACGGGTTTGGCCTTTTCAGCTAACTTAAATCGCACAATGCTCCGTTTCCCCCATGAGAAACTGCAGGATTATGCACCAAATGTGAAGTTCCAAAGACCACATTTCCTCAAAGCACCCACATTTGCATTTTTCATCAAACAGTGGCTTTCTGACTGAAAATGCCCATGTTTAAGTTTTTCCTTCAGATATAATTTGTGGAAAATTTAAACAAAACTCCTTATCCTTTCATGGGCTCCATGGAAATGAATGTAAATAGGTTCTGGCTTGGCAGCCTGCAAAGAGTCTGACTGTTAGTGCTGTTGAAGCTCTTATTCATGTAAATAATCTTCATTAGTGCGTTTTACCATGAGTAGGTGTTACAGAACTGAGACTGGAAGATGTATGTCCTTCATGACAGATTGTCTCTTGTGGCATCACAGATGGAAAAAGGCACAATCTCATTGCTCTCTGAAGAGGGAGGAAACAGAATCACTACTGCGATGCTACTGCTGAGATAATCTTCAGGAGGAAGATTACCAATATTTCATTAAAACCACACAGAGCAGATGCTCTGCCTCTGTGTCAGGAACACCCTCCTGTCCCCATCATTACTTAGAGAAATAAACCATGTCTTAGCTTGGGGACGGGAGGGAGCAGCACGTGCATGCAGGAGCGCTGCCTGTGATTTGAGGGTGCCTGTAATTTTGTCAGCAATTTTCAGCACCACGCTGAGGGCTGAGAATGTAAACCAGAGATTTCACTGCACCCCTGTTGAAGGCGCATTTCTAGGGAGCCTCTAACTCCTGCAGAATTTAAACTCAAATTTAACACATTTACAACATTGGCGATCATGCAGAAAACCCCTGAGGTCCCAATCATCTCCCGGCTGCAAATCACTGTTGTAAATATTAACAACGAGCAAAAACTGAGCTCTTTTCCCCATCAGCACCAGAATGTGTCTCTGCATTTCTCACTCTGCAGACAACCCAGCTGAATGCCCTGGGGAGAGGTGTGTGGCCGGGCTGCAGTGGGGATGCCTCATGGGAGTGCCTGGGAAGAGAGCAGACTCATCAAATGAATCCTGAAGGTCTGCTGGAAGCCAGATGTCTGGTTCCCACTGCATGACAACGTGTTGATAATGGTTAAAAAATCACCACCTGCTCTCCTAGGCTACTGATAACAGTGGAATATGGTTACTGGTGGGACACATGAGCACAACTGAGCAAGTCACGAGAGTAGCTGGCCTTAACTCAGGCAAATAACACAATCATTAAGGTTGGGAAGGACCTCCAAGATCATTAAGTCCAACCTTTGACTGACTCCCACCATGCTCAGTAAGCCATATCACAAAGTGCCACGTCTACTCATTTTTTTGAACACTACCAGGGATGGTGATTCCACTACTTCTCTGGGTAGCCTGTGCCAATGCTTCATCCACTCTTCCAGTGAAGAAGTTTTTTCCTAATACGCAACCTGAACCTCCCCTGGAGCAGCTTGAGGCCATTTCCCCTTGTCCTGTCACCTGGTAGAGGAGGCTGATCCCACCTCACCACAACCTCCTTTCAGGTGTTTGTAGAGAGCAATAAGGTCTCCCCTGAGCCACCTCTTCTCGAGGCTAAACACCCTCAGCTGCTCCTTGTAAGGAGCTTTGTTGCCCTTCTCTGGGCACAAAATACTCATCATTATTTTAGGCTCAAAGGAACCCAGTGCCACATGGCTGTACTATGCCATAAATCCTCATGGTGAGCATTCTGCTAACATAGGTTATACCCTCTCAAGCTACACATTTCTCATGCTTTTAAATAAGGTAACTCAGCTACTCTGATGCAAGGGTGCACTAAGGTGACTCTGCTACGTTGGTGCAAGGATGCATTTATTTCCATATTTAAACCTCTGCATTATATTCTGTTCTCTATAACATTTTCTTCAAAGAACAATCAGTGCTAAAGTGTTTGATGAAATACTAAAGATGCATGTTGAAATTAGATGTTGGCCCAGACATGTTGCATCTTCAAGTTTTGCTTTTCTATTTATTCATTATCTATTATATCCTTAACACTTATGGAGTTTGACTATAATAGTTTGACTATTCTATTCATTACCTATTATATCCTTAACACTTATGGAGCTTTGATTGACATTTATTGTTTTGTTAGAAGATATTAAAAGTTAAATATGAAATGGCAACCTAGGAAATTAGTAACCTGCAAGTCTAACATGTTATTTTTTCATTTAATATGCTCAGCAATACTTATCTATTTTTTCCAAGAGCACTGAACCTTGTGGAGTTCCAATATGCTCATGTTAAATGAGGTTCCCTTTAAAACCGTTATTCTAGGCAACTGTGGGTTTTGAAAGGAAAAAGGAAAGCACACTCCAGACGATCCTTCCACAGCAGTTTTTCCTGCATTCATTTGAAAACCCAGACTAAAAAAATGCCTGTAAATCAATTAATTATATGACAACTTATGCCTATGATAGCTGGCCATAAACCTCACTTCAGCCATACAGCAGGTGGATAAAACTACCTGGAGCATCAGTGCCTGACTTCTACAGGAAGAAGTGCAATGGTAGACAAAGTTTCCTTGTATCATTTTAGTTGCATAGCATTTACTCCTGATGATTTTAGCACCACCTGTTGGGCACGGGATTCCTGCGGGGCCATCGCCGGGCCCGGTTCCGCGCCTCGGCTGCGGGCCCGGGCCCGGCACGGACAGACACCCACGGACAAACACCCACGGACAGACACACGGAAACGTAGGTGGGCAAAGTGTTAGCGCCGCCCCTTGAAAGAGGCCCGTGGAGCGCCTGAGCAGTCAGGCGGTAGCGTGGCCGAGTGGTCTAAGGCGCTGGATTTAGGCTCCAGTCATTTCGATGGCGTGGGTTCGAATCCCACCGCTGCCAAGCCGTTTTGCTCGCCCCGCTGTGGTTTTTTTTTTTCCTGCCTCCCGCACGGTCATTCTGGGCAAATCCAATTAGGTGTAGCTGCGGAAAGGGGATTATCCTCCCTGTGCGTCTTTTGTTTTAAAAATAACATGGCATAAACCTGTAATTCTGGCTGCTGTGCGTTTGGGTTAGTGGATACCTGGGGCGTGGGGCGTGGTGCCTGCCCTGGGCTGCGGGGATGGAGAGGATGTGTGAGCACTCTCACCCTTTCCAGAGTTTGCAATCTTTCCCTTCTCCCAGTCCGTCATTCCTCTAGATCTCATCCCTAATCCCTTCCCAACCTCTCTGCTTGCATCATGCCCCTGATTGTTCTCTCCCTACAGTACAGGTTGGAAGAGATGCAGATGGGAAGAGAATTTCTGTGATTAATTCCCACCAGGAGTGGCAGGTGGGAGTCGAACCTCCTGGACCACCTTTGCTCCAGGCCCATCTTAGCTGAACAGTACTTCGAAACACATAATGTTCACTCTAGCTGCTGCAGGGATTTGCTCAGCACAACTGCTGTGCTTTGGAAATGTGGTGAAAAACCTAGTTGTACATAAAGTTCAGCCAACAAGCAACTCAACACAGTTTATTGTTGTCCTCAATAACTACAGGAGTCAAAGGAAGCACAACCCATAGTGGTAGATTACTGTGACATAAATGCACTTAACTGATGAAACTTAGTTATTAACTTCTAATTTAACTAAAATACACAGTCTTGACTTGCAAAACCCTCTAGCTGCATGTACCCCTGAGGCTGTGAGTGCAGCTGGGTGCTCTGCCCCAGGGGCAGGGCAGGGAGCAGCATCAGAGGCACAGCACAGACTTCAGCAAAGTTTCGAGCACACTTTTATTTTCCCTCTCATGCAGTGATACAGCTAATTCACAAAAGAATTTCACACAGTGTGAACTCTCTGTACTGCTAGTGTGTGCTATTTGCAGCAGTCTGTGCTGGCTGTCCTTTGCCTGTCCCTCTGTTCCCCAAGGCAGTGAGTCATGCAGAACCTGTGGTCAATCTTCCTCTTTATTTCAGCCTTTCAGTCTTTTTTCAGTCATCACTGGTGCAGCACTGCAGCCTGGCTGTACCTCTTGTTCTTTCTGCAGGCTCTCATTGACTTCAGCAATCAATAAGGAAAGTTATTTTTTTTGGTGTGAAATAGAGGCAACAGTGTTGACTCTGGCGTGTTTTGGTCATTTGACCAAAATTGTTGACTGTGTTTTAATTTCTCATTTGCAGCTACTGCTATGTTATGATTTTGCTAGTAAATCTTAAAATAGCTGCCTGTTTATTGCCCTGGGGCCAGTAATTGTAGCGACTCAAATGATCCAGGTAGCAATGCTGTGACTGAGTATGTCCAGCTTATGCCAATCACTGTTGTGTTTCTTTAAAAAAATGCAGAACTGAAAGGCCGTCAAATTTTAAAGAAAGAAAGATCAAACTTAAGCTGACAATTAAAGAAAGCAAAACTTTGAGGAAGATGTGATGATTCGGAGCTTCTGGTCTGGATTTTATGTAATGGTCCACGGAGTCAGCAAACACAAACTTCCCTGGGCTGTAGCCCAGCTGGGCCCGTGCCTTGTCTATTCGAAACGTGTGAGTGGTAGAAATGTTCTGTACCTGCAGGGTGAAAGAGTCAACAGACAAAGCCATGAATGCACAGGCAAAGGGAACAAACTGTAGATGGTAGCAAAGACACAGTTAAAGGAAATTTAACATAAAAAAACCCACAACATTTTATCAATGTCCTCTCGACATGTCAAATCAGTTTTAACATTGTTCACTCTAAAGGAGAATCTTGAAAGCCTAAAGAGGCAGTGAAAGCTGCGAAGCAGAATCTGTAAGTCTTGAAAACATCCACAAAAAATGTTCTGCAAATGTTCTCTGGTTTGTGTACCCAAGGAGGCAGATCAAAGCCATCTCTTAGGCGCTGAAGGGCCCAGCCAGAGCCATACAGGATGTAGGCACGTGGAAGGAAGGAGCTGCAGCAGCCTCTGCCACGTTGCAAGCATAAACTCTTTTCAAAAACAAGCATAACATATTGCCTAAATTGTGCATGGTGCATGTATTTGCCTTGGAAACTGGAGGCTGAAGTAGTACTGGGTGGACTTTACTTTCTACTGACTCAAATTGTCCCTCAGTATTAACACATGTGTATCCCATGGGAATTAAGGGCAGTTTACAAAGACTTTACCTCATTTCTGGTCAGCAGTGGGGACAGTTCAAACAATGGTTTCAGCATCAGATGAAGGTATTCCATTACCATGGCTGCATAAGAAAAAATTTCTACTTGAGGTAAGAACAGTAAATGGCTTTGCTATTATGACTGTGGCATATCTCCTGCTGTAGACACTCATGGGGGATAATCACATACCTAAGAGCTCAGGGCACTAACTCAACAGGACTAATTGCTCCCAAGGGGTTGATTTACTCTTAATTCTTCAGTGAGCCCAGTTAGGGGGCTTGTGGGAAAAGGGTTTGGAGGGTTGGGCACATCTCTAGTGAAGAGATCATGAGACTTCACAAAAAATGTGGTGACAACAGAATATTCAAAGTTGGACCTGTTGGAGCTGCTCATGGGGGTTGGCTCTGGAGAGAGCATGAGATGCAGGAGAGCGAGACATTTACCCATGCACCAAGCAGATACTCTTCAGCATATTGCATGAAGTCATGGATTTTTACTTTTAACTTTTCATATCACAAAGTTCTACATCTGTTAAGTCCTACACAAAACCTGTTTTTGTGGGACGTAAAGAAAAGATGGTTCTGGTTTCAATATGCTGCACAGAGCTGAAATTCACACTCCTGCACACTCGATGAGCCCACAGCATGTTATTTTTATACATGAAAATGAAAATCGTGGGCAAATTAAAAAAACCCCACATTATATTACAGTTAGGAATGAGGGTAGTGTGAACAGGAAAGAGAAACGATGCTAAAACTTTTTACCTGATGCATAAACTAAGGAAGCAGGAACACGTATCCACGGCTTACTGCAGCCCAATTTTTCAAACTGAAAGAGATTTAAAAAACAGTGAAAAAAAAAGGAAACTTCAAACAAGTTTTAAAGTTTCAATGTCAAAGTTACTTGTGGAAATATTTACTGGTAAAACAGAAATTCTCTAATGATTGTTGTTACTGTTTTTCATTTTAAAGGGGATTCCAGTTAAATGTCACATGCAGACACTATGTAATTTTCAGGTGTTAGTCTTAAAAAAAGGGGAAAAATATAATCATTGATTGAAATGACATGTTGTGCTGATACCTATAATGACATATTTCTGGGTTTGAGCCTGCCATTAACAACAAAATGGTGTTTTGAAAAGGATGTATATTACAGACAAATACTTGAGATTTATATTTTTCATCCACCCAAAGCTGCTATCAGCTGCATGCCCCAAAGATGAAGCTAATAGCAGCTCAGCATGGGATGCTGCTGTAGATGGTTCTGTGGTCTCAGGGAAGAAAGTTGCTCTAAGGTAGTATTTGAGTTGGGCTTTGCTGCAGTGCTAATCACACTGAACTTCAAGCAGGAATTAAACCCCCATTCAGAGAGTTCCCTGTGGAACTCTCACACCCAAAGCAAACACACAAAATGGAACATGCACACAAAGGCTGGAGCTGCACACAGATAGAGAGATGAATGTATTTGGAGATTAGGACACAGCACACGCACAAGTGGAGTTAACCATTCGAAAAGGTTGGATTTTTCACCATCATTAATGAAATACACCTGGCCACTCTGTTAGAGAGGTAGAGAAGAGACAAGTTAGTAAAAATAACACTGCATATAGATTGGCCTATTTTTCTTTATCTCATTCCTTGTGAATAGCTTAAAGATAATACAGCCACCTAAAATATGTATGGATGTACATGCAAGTCACAAACTGTCTACGTGTGTTTCATCAGCTGCATTTTGTGTGCAATGAAATTGGTGGACAAGTGGTTTATGTGATTAACATGCCTGGGAGTAAGTGATTTACTACAGAGGTGCCTATGCTGGCTGTACAGAGACAGCACAAGCACTGGAGGTGGTGTTGGATCTCACTGGTGCTGCTGACACGTTCACCTAATGGTGGGACATGTTCTGCTCTGCTCACTGGAATCCATAGGGCTCCATCTAGGTAACCAAGG